AGGTGGTAACCTATCACGGTGCCATGCTTGAATTTACTGAGCTCCCGAGAGCGACCTATTCTTTCTCAAATGTTTGTAGAAGAAGTCAGCATGCCTAGGTGCTTGATTTTATACACCTGTGGCCATGGAAGTGATTGGAACATCTGAATCCAGTGATTTGGAGGGGTGTCCCAATACTTTTGGCAATATAGTGTATTCATCCTGCAATCTGCTCCTTTATTAAAGAGCTACTTCCTGACACGCCTGACCATTGTTTGGACCTTGATAGGGTTCACAAGGGCTTCCTAGGGACATTGTAGTCAAGCCTTACTTCTACAAGCTGACGGAAGAAATCAGAGCATCCAGAAAGACAGAGAACTTATCTATTTAAGGTCATCCTGTACAGGTTTTTGCGGACCTTTGCCCCACTACAATCTGAAAAAGGCATTCCCTAAAACAATTATTTTATGCCTTGTCTCAGAAAGCAGTGAAATATTGGTGTATTTTTCTATTCTGTCTGCAATTTCTCTGTCAAAATAAGTCATATGGGTTCTCTTAATTTGCTGAGGGAGAACACATACTTCTATAACTGGGACTCATCTCCCAGTCCTAACCCTGGTCCTGTGAATCTTGCCCTCCTTGATGCTAGGTTTTCATGATGAGTTGTCACCTTGTTCCACTCACTGAAACTGTTCTTGGACAGAAACATTTTTGTCTTTTTGACCTGCTATTTTATTTATCTTACCTTTTGTCTTCCCCCTCTGAATAGGGGGTGGATGTTTTTCCCAGACAGTTTGAGATTCCTTGACTTGTTGACCCCTTTTTTTGGGACAATATCCCTCTTGTAATTAATCCTCTCCCCCCCCATCCCCCCTTTTTTTGTATTTTTTAAACTTTTTCCTGTGAAGTAGTTCAGATATTTTTCATATTTTGTATATTTTCTCTCTCCCTGGGAGACCCTAGTCTTGGGGGGGTATCTCCCCTTTTGGGGTTCCCCTTACAGATTGGGATCTCTCTGAGAGATGCTGTAAGCCATGATATGCTATGGTTATTGAATGATTTTGTCTGGGGTCTTGTTATTATGGTGTTTTGTAGGCCAGAGCGGAATCCATGCTCCTTCACTTGCCGTGACAACATGGAGTTTTCCTCTTGTGATGGTAGGTTTTACGTCCTCCTCTGTGATGGACATTATTTTGAACAGATGTCTTTGCAGGGATAGGCTGGTCCATTCCTGCTGGTTGGGGATATTTGGGGTTGTTTGGGTGATTTCATCTCTTTTCCTGCTTCTTCTTTTCCATTTCTTTTTTCTGAGGTTCTGCTTTTTCAGTCATCGAGAGGCAGTCATAAATAAGCAATTTCTAGTTTATGGTCAATTCCTCCGTTCATTCCTGGTCCACACTGACTCAACTATATACATTCAACGTAGGTGTTTATGGTTTTGCATATCTTTCCACCTCTCCTTTCCATAAGTCCAGAAATTCCGGTTATTTCTCCTACTTCAAGAAACTCACTTCCCTGAAAGTTATAGTCTTTCTTTTATCCACCAAAAAATGCCAAATATTTTCCCTAGCTAACGCTGACGATAAAACTAGGGGGGTAACTATATTCTTCTCCAAACACTTAGACTTCACTCCATCGTGAATAATCATAGACCTGGAGGGCAGATATATTTTCTTGTCAGGGTCCCTGAATGGTCATCTGTATACATTAATTTCCTATTACGCTCCAAATCAGGGTCAGATATTTTCACTTCCATGTTATAAGATTTACTTCCCCATGTAGAGGGTATAGTTGTGTTGTGGGGAGACTCTAGTTTAACTTTAGAGCAGGAATGGGAAACCTCACCTTAAATGTCCCACTAAACAAAGCCTTCGGTTTGCAAAACGTTTACACTGCAACGGGCTGGTGGACATTTGGTGGGAGCATAATCCAATGGTAAGAGACTACATGCACTTTTCTGCCCCTCATCAGACCTTTGCCAGGATAGATCACATCTTCAACTCAAATTCCAACAATGTCCAAATCCTTTATTCCGGATACGGTGTTATTAGATCATTCCATGGTATTTTTAATCATACATTGGCTCCGCAGCCCTAGGGGACCTTTCCGTTGGTGCCTTAATTAATCTCTACTTAGTGACCCTGTTCAATGTACCATTTTGGAGAAAGCATTGAAATAATTTTTTCTTACAAATGACACTGGTGACGTCTCCCCTTTGACATTATGGGATACACATAAAATGGTAATTAGAGGGAAACTCCTTCAACTAGCCTCTCAATGAAAACAATAGCATCAGGCTGACCTGGTTAAATTGGAAAAAGACTTCTTATCTCCTGAGTAAGGGTCACAAAAAGAATCTAACACCTGAGTCCCTGGCTAAGCTGGACTCGGCTCACTTGGTTTAGCTTTGACTACAGAAGCGGAAAAAGAACGTACAGTGGACTGGGGCATGCTTCTAGTGTGAAAAAGATAGGATAGGTTCCATGCTGTCGACCTGATTGTCTTCCAAATACCACTCCTACTCATTGCTGCACAAAGTCACTGGACAAGCTATCCCTAAATCGCCTCAGATTGCTTTATTGAACCACAGGGTGGATAACATCCCTAAATGCATGCAGTCATTTGTCTTTTTTGCACTCTTGGGTGCCAAGATCACAATAGCACATGTGTGGAAACAAACTTCTGTATCCTTTGCAGCAGCAAAGAAAGAGATTTCCTGGATAATGCTCCAAGAACAATTAACAAGTATTTTACTTGACAGAGTCCCAAAGTTTGAAAGCATTTGGGAACCCTGTGCACATTACGTGAAGGTTCCACTATGATTGCTCTTTCCACACCTCAGGTGACTTCTCCTCATGATGACTGATACTTACCTATCTCAAACTTTCGACTACTTTAGTGTTCTACCGACAGTGACCTTTGAAACTGTGGTCCCAGCTCTCTTCATGTCATTGACCAGCTCCTCCCTTGTAGTTCTGGGCTGATTCCTCACCTTTCTTATCGGTGATACCCCACGAGGTGAGATCTTGCATGGAGCCCCAGTCCGAGGGAGACTGACAGTCGTCTTTAGCCTCTTCCATTTTCTAACAATTGCTCCAACAGTTGATCTATTTTCACCAAGCTGCTTGGCAATTGCCCCGTCACCCTTTCCAGCCTTGTGGAGGTCCACAATTTTGTCTCTGGTGTCTTTTGACAGCTCTTTGGTCCTGCCCATGGTAGTAGTTGGCGTCCTACTGACTGTGGGGTGGACAGGTGTCTTTAAAGAGCTCAGACAGGTGCTACTAAGTTAGATTAATGAGTGGAGTAGAGGTGGACTTTTTAAAGGCACAGTAACAGGTCCTTGAGAATTCTTGCTGTTTCTTAGGTGTTCAAATACTTATGTTCAGCAGTGCAAGACAAATTCTTTAAAAATCATACAATGTGATTTCCTGAATTTTTTTAAAAAATTCTGTCTCTGAGTGGGAATGCACCTACAATGTGAATTTCAGACCCCTCAATGATTTCTAAGTAGGAGAACTTGCAAAATTGCAGGGTGTTCAAATGTTTCTGTTCCTCACTGCATATATATATATATATATATATATATATATATATATATATTACCCCCACTTGTACTTCCAGCACCACAATAGCATCTCCAAAAAGGCAGGAGAACATGGAGGAGCATTGTAGAGACCCATGCCCAAGAAGATAACGAGAAGGGAAAGATGCCTGGTCCCCAGGGCAGGAAATTAGCTTAGATCATAGACTTTGAACAGGGACTTTGATCCATTACACTGCATGATGATTAAAGAAAAGGTTTTCAGAATCAAGACTGATGAGTAAGGTAATTAATGTGCAATGTACTATTTAAATGAACTATTTTTTGCTGGAGTTGAGTTTTAAATTGCTCATTCATAGTGCAGGCAAACAAAGTTCTACATAGTCCATCTGCCTGCCCAAAGCTTTAACTGTAGCTAGGGAACATTTTTTTTGTTGCAGTTTTAATTGAATGTCTCCTACATCTTCTGAACATCCTTCCCTCTTAGTTTCCACCTGATTTAGGCCACTTTCAAATGGGTGGCTAGGGGATGGTAAAAATATTCAGCTTAGCCGCTGTTTTACCGCTCTCCAGCTGCCCGCTCAAAGTATAAAATACAACTGGAGGAGGCTGTTACCATGCTGCAAAGCACTGAAGCAAATTTATGCAGCATGCCAAGTTGATAGGTTGCACTGCCATTGAAGTCAATAGGGCCGTGCTGCAACCGCCAGGCAAATGTTTGGCTCGCAGTTGCAACACATTTGCCCCAATATAAATTGCTATTCAGCAAAAAGGAAAATATAACAGGCACTAGGATCACCTCCTTAACTCCTGACAGCGCCTGCTTAGCCATACTCTGAGACGCACTCTATACAAATCAATTTTCAGATCATGAGCTAGTGTGAACCTAGCCACAGAGAATGCAGAGAGTCCAGACAGGGGAGCAGTTGTGGAATATGCAAAGTTTTTAGCTGGCAGAAAGGTACAGTGCCTGGGGCAGTGGGGTTCAGTGGCAAGGGTGCTGGGAAACAGCGAGGTTAAGTCAGGGGTTCAGGGGGATGCAGTTTAGGCTCCGTTCACACCAATGCATTTTTTTGTGCTTTTTGCAGAAACTTATTACAGTCCATTTAACATGGTTTCCTACGGAATGTGTTCACATCTATGCTTTTTTGAGCTGCTGCCGTTTTAGAAAGGGTCAGGGACTTTTTTAAAAGCAAAAAGCAGCATTTTTGCTACAATAGCGTTCAATGAAAAATCTGCTGAAATGCATGATAGTGCATTTTTGCCTCATTTTGCATTTTTATTCTGCCCAGCAAAAAAAAAAAAAAAAATTAAATTCAAAACGTGGTAAAAACGCAAGTAGAAAAACGCAAAATGAACTTCGAAAAGCACCGCGAAATGGACAAAAAGCAAACTGCATAGGTGTGAATGGAGCCTTAAAGGGTGCTGGGAGACAGTAAAGTTTAGAGTCAGAGGTGAAGGGGAGTTAAGTGATAGGGGTTCTGGGCAGGGGGACGGACTGACCATTGAGGGACTTGGGCACTGCCCAAGGGCCCGGGGTCAGTAGGGGGCCCCATGAAATACCCCTGGTATCTTTTTATAGGCTTTTTTGGGTGTGCTTTGAGTGTGGGCAAGGACACAGGGGCCCCATGATCCCCTATTGCCCGGGGGCCCCATAAGTTGTCAGTCCGCCCCTGGTTCTGGGTGACAGGGAGATGCAGCATCACAGTGTAATGTCAACGATAATGGGTTCTTAGGTCCAAATACCCATCTACTTGTAAGCCATCAGGGAGGATTTCGTGACAGAGCACCACCCAACATGGTGCAGGCTCTTGGACCACATTGCTTGCTGATCTAAGGCAAGTGCAAGGGGCTCTAATTAGCATGAACATTAGGATTAGGTTATTTCTAAAAGTCTTTGGCCTCCTTCAAACTTCTTCAATCCCATGCTTTGTGTTAACGTATGTTTGCTCATTGCGGTGCCATTAAATTTAGAAGACAGAAGGTTCCAATGGACATACACTGCAGTGTATCGCTACACAAGTTCCTTGCATTTAAAAAAAAGTTGTAGGTCAAATTTTTCATTTTGTTTCCATGCATGGGTAGACCATTCTTCATGGAATTACTCCCTTAAGTATGCAATAGCGCACTGCAATGGAGCAGTATAGTGTGAAGGGGGACCTAATAGTATAAAATGTAGAATAGTCTTCTGTAAGAAGTGGTCCTGAATTCAGTGGATTGCTTGGAATTAGAGTTGGATGCTATTCTAAAAGCATAAATTGGGTTTGTTACATTTTTAAAGAATGATCTGACTGCCTTTGGGGGACAGCAAGAAATGTTTTCCATGTTAAAGCAAAAAGGGCCATGCTTTAAAAATGTTCTTTTCCTCTAATCTAAGCCAGATAGAAGTTAGCTGACTACTTACTATGCAGTGATGTATCCAGGGGCGGACTGACAACTCATGGGGCCCCCAGACAATTGGGAATCATGGGGCCCCTGTGTCCTTGCCAAAACTCAAGCCTATGAAAAAGGTACCAGGGGCATCTCATGGGGCCCCCTACTGAACCCGGGCCCTCGGGCAGTGCCCGGGTGCTCAAATGGTCAGTCCGCCCCTGGATGTATCCGTATGTTGTCGGACTTTCGGTGCTTATACCAGGATGATGCCTGCCACGCATCACCCTGGTATTTTTTTTTAGAGCTGGCAGTTGGCTTTCTTGTAATAGCAATCAGAGCGGCTACCTAGCCGCTCGATTGCTATTACAAGCAGTGGAAGGGGAGGTTCCCCTACTTCCGCCGCCATCTGCGGCATGCCCGGGCTCTTCTGATCTGAGCGACCAGCCAGCACATCTGCTGGCTGGCTGGACAGCCGAACAAAGCCAGGAATGGCTTTGATCGGATCTCCGTTATAGTGAACGGAAGTGATGACCTGACAAGTAAACAGCGCCATTTAAAAAAAAAAAAAAAGCATTCCAAAACACAGATCTTGGTGTTTTTGAATCTTTTAAGTGCGGAGGAGGGATTTGGGGGTCTCATAGACCCATATCTCTCCCTAAAAAAGCAGCTATCACGTGTCCATTGCTGTCACAAGGCAAGTTTACATTCCTTGTGACAGCAATGAAAGTGATTAAAAAATAAATAAAGCAACAGTGTAAAAAATAAATAAAAAAATGTAAAGTGCTTCCGTCCTCCCATGCTAACAGTCAAAGGCAAATGTCGCGTTGGTCCCACATGCACGCAAACAGCGATCAATCCATACATGTTAGGTATCTCTGCGATCGTAAGATTATGGGCAGAAATTCTAGCATCAGACCTCCTCTGGAGATCTAAAGTGGTAACCTGTAAAGGCTTTAAAGTGTCGCAGATGGATAGTAAAATTCACCTTGTTTGTTGCAGTTGCACGGGTGTGTGCAATTTTAAAGCGTGACACGTTTGGTATCTATTTACTCGGTATAACATCATATATTTTATAAAAAAATTGGGTTATGTATTGTTTTTTTTGCATTAAATTTAAAAAATTGTGTTTTTGCTTTTTGTTTTTTTGTTTTTTAAATATACGTTTTTGCTCTTGGGTCTCTGCTTAAAAATAAAATATAATGTTGGGGGTTCTAAGTAATTTTCTAGCAAAAAATACTGTTTATTACGTGCAGACAAGAAGTGCCAGAAATAGCCCTGACTGGAGGTGGTTAATGGAGTCAAACTGGCATTCGTTTTCAACTGCAGTGACAAGAACATTTATTAAGGGAAAGTCCAATCACTCCAAAATGTTGAAAGCAAATGTCTTTTGACGTACTTCTGGACAACATTCATTGTGTCATTGAATGTTCTGATGAGAATCTTTCTTTGAACATTCTTTCGAAAATCTGCTAATGCATGGCTAGCATTAGCGAACCTGCCACTGGAGCTTTCGACAAATTGCCAAAGTCAGGACCACCAGAGGCAGAGTTACCTGTCTGATATTATTTTAAAAAAATGACTCTCCTATAACAGAAAAATGTTAGCTTTTACACTTTAATATTCTTGAAGGCTTCAAGGCATTTTTGATCTGCTGTGGATCATGTTTTAGTGCTCCAACTGGCCATTTAGACAACAAAAAGGCCAGAGCCAATAAAGCTCTGTAATGGTTGGATAAGTTGTGGGTTTGTGGAGGAAAAGTTCCAGTGGTAGGTACAAAGGGGGAATTGGAACATTGGGGTTCTAAATTAATTCAAGACAGAAAGGTAGAATTGGAGAAAACAGTTAAGAAAAATAATAGGAAGAATACGCAATATATGAAGACAGAGGTAAGCTACAATTAGTTCTGGGTTAGTCACCAACCACATGGTGATAGGAAAGTCAATGTTTGGGGTCCATGACAACTGCCCCCAGCATAAAGAGTTGGATGAGAAGGAGGATTTGATAAGAGCTAGGTTAATAACTGCTGGCAACCTATTAATCTTTTTTTTTTTTTTTTTTTTTTTAGGAAATTATTGTTTCCTGTTTTTAAAGATTAGAATGCACTAGAGTCAGAAATTTGAGGAGGGATAGCTAAGTGTCAATTTTGTTATTTTGGCCTGCCCCAGGGGGCATCATCAGGATGGCCAGGTGTCAGGGCAGGAGCCGAGGAACGGACAGGCAGGCCTAACAATGTAACGCACTGGCTGACGACAACCACCACCCACAGACCGAAGTCCCTCAGGGCGCGGAGTCTAAGTCCCAGGCTGCCCTTCACCAGGGCCCCTGATGGTGGGGATGGACTTGACACAGCCAGGAACAAGGTCGCGGCCCCCGAGACACCTCAGCTGCGGTAATGGCCGCCGCCAATGGCGTGTAGCTGGTGGAAGAGACAAAAGAGTAGTCAGACAGGCCGAGGTCAACAACAACAGGACAAAACAGTACAGGACAGCAGACGAGAATCACAGGTCACGAGCCGGGTTCAGCAACAGAGGGTCAGATCAAAGGAGAATACAAAGAATAGTCAAGTCACAAGCCGAATCAGATACCAGGAGAGTCACGAGAGTCAGAACAGAGTAATAGCGACACAAGTACAAAGAGCATGTGCGGGCCACAGGCTTATATGTCATCAGCCATGCCCCTCTGGGGGATGGACCTCAGAGACCTGGAGGCATAAAAGGATTCCCACCATGCACAGCAGAATCCAAGATGGACGCCAGCACATGGAGTAACATAACCTCGGGGAAAAGGTAGGACCTTGACACCAGGGTAATGATGCAGAAGTTGGCACTGCTCTCTGAATAAATGAGGACCATCCACCACTGGAGAAGATTGGCAGAGGACCCTGCATGTCACACGTGTGGACTATAGACATATAGAAAAGATATTTTAGGAGGAAGGAGTAATGTAAAAAGCAAAACTTACAGGGCCACTATCTTGGTTGGGACTCAGCCCAGAGTTGATTTAATTAGTTGGACGTGCTAAACCAACCAAAAAGGTAATCAAAGTACACAAGGTAGTATGTCCAGGCCTTCTGCCCCCTGCCATGTCCCCCACTCCCACTTGTAGGCATTTATCTACTCCTATAATAAAGCCAAGAGTTGCTGTGTAAATACAGCAGTTCTAGCAGCTGCTGCTGTCAAAAAAGAACTGTTTAGCTCAGTGTTTATCAACACTGTTCAGACAACATAGAGATACAAATGTCAACTAAAACATCTTTTAATTTGTCTGTTTAACCCTTAGTATACCCTTATCTGCCCTAATTAATACCTATTCCCCCTTTTCCCTTCAACTATTGTTTTCCTACTGATCGTTTTTATTTATATATACATTTTTCATTTTTATTTATTTTGTTTGTTTTTGTTTTTTTTTTTTGCTTGTTAGTGTGACACTAAAAAATAAACTTTTTTCATTTGTAAATAACTTTTACATTATGATTCAGATGCAAAGTATTGCAGTATCATTTTAAACAGGACAAATTACAGAATAAAAACTATACTTTATCTATATTGTAGACAAATGTATACTGATCAGAAAAGAAAAAGTGCATTTTTTTGTTTAATTGTTTTTATTATAATCTTTGGACAAAAAAGTAACACATTTTTAAGACAATATCATGAACAGAAAACATTGTTTGTCCCTAAAAAAACAGCATATGTATCACAAGTATTGCCAAATTGACAGGTTCTGGTCCTTAGTGGGTATGAGAGATGAAGAGGTTCATGAATACATATCGAAGTTAACTGGTGTCTTTTTTTTTATATATATATATTTTGACCCTGCCCTATGCAGTTGTGTCTCAAATAAAGGTAGAATGTGTCACTGCTAGGCTGTAACCAGCCTGAGCTGCTATTAACCTTTTCTGGGTTCTTTAGGTTTTCCGTAAGCCTGGTGGATTGATTGCCTCATCCTGTGGTTGGAAGGAGGTTCCAGTATTCAGGACAACCCTAGGTGCTGAATATTTATCTGACCAGCCAATCCCTGAGCAACTGTATTCAGAGATATGGTCTGAGGAAATTATAAATGTTTGGGAGCACCTATCCAGAACTGTCTTTCCCCCTGGGAAGGTGCAATGTGTGACGATTGAGATATGAGCAAGGTCTCAAGATGTTCATATGCTGAGGGCCTTGGAAATCAAGTTAGGATTGGAGCAAATGCCTGAAAGAAGTTGGGTTGAGCAGCTAAAACACCCAGTGTGATGGGACCTTGGGAGCAAGAAAACTCTGTGGCTGCCCTCTAAGAGCAGGTTGTCCTTTTGCTATTTTTATCTATTT